CAGTGTATCAGCAGCCAGTCTCTCTGCCATTGCACTTAATGCATCTCTGTGCCCAAGCCTAGGTTTTTATCATGAATGGATAATCCTGGGTGCCATTTCCTATTTAGCCTCAGTGAAATTCAGCAGTCACTTACTAAATACCAGAGAATTTCAGTTGCTTATTACATCTCTTTCCCATTGAATCCCTTGTGTTTACAGTGACAGCATACTCATGATGAAGTATACTTGTTGTGCCAGCCTGTGATACGTAGTTAAATTTAAGCTTCACCCTTTCTTTTAATCAGTGTTTATAGTCTGTACAAGTTCTGCTTTCATTGTTTCTTTGAGACTTTGGTTCACACTAAACTCTAGTAGTATCATACTTTTCTAATGCTACTGATAGTCATTCTGTATTCTTCCAGTGCCTATCAACTCCTTGAGATGAAGAATAAGGGAGGAATTTATTGGGATACCACCAAATTCCTTCGAGTTATGTGTATAAGCATGATTTCATGCTTCCTCCATTCGTGCATATTTAGTGTGCAGAAGTACTGTGAGCTGCTTAATGTTTTTGAAAGCATATGCTGCTGCTGCTTATATTTTGCTTAGACTCTAATATATTAAAACAGCTTTTCCTGCTCTTGATATACTGTATACCCTTCATATATATCTCAAAAAGCTGTGGAAGAATAATATATTTCTATAGTAAGTTGTGAAGTGAGACAAAAAAAATTCTTGTTTTGATTTATAATACAGAGAGAAGTAATGGAAACAATAGTTCTATTCAGTAACTTTCAAGCTGATGGTTAAAAACACGTGGATTTTATATTATAGAAAGAAAACTACTATAACATTACATATGATGTCTACTTGCTTCATAAGATAAAATACTTTCCTACAGTGGGATAAATCTTTTAAAAATAATATAATAGGAATAATCATGTTTACAAATGCAAACAAATTTGAACTTTTAAAAAAGTTATTGGGTAAACAGACTGACTATAGTTCATGACAGCAAAATTGCCTAAGTTAAAATTTAATTTAGAATTAACTTGGGGTTAGAATTAACTTGATACTTAAGACAAAAAGCGTTCTTCCAACAAAAACTTAAAGGTAAAATTTTCTTGTGAGAAGTTTTTATAGCAGGACAACTGTGTTCAAAGTTAACTTTGAAATAAGGAGACCATATGAAAAAAAATCTGCAAAATTTGCTGTCTAGACTTCATTTTTAGAAGCCCTATCAGCATTCTTGTGTTTGTAAGTTAGCAACAGAAAATAGCCCAATCTTAGGGAGGTAACATGACCGCAAGAATAATCGCATTAAAACATCTATCTTGTCTTTAATAATTCTGGTGTATTTAAATGTAGTTTGGTGATATACTGATCCTCTACAGTAGCTTGTCTTTGTGAAACTGAATAGAATTTTATTTTTCTGATGGGAATTGTTGTTACAGGCTTTAGGTTATAGAATAGTAATGAAGGTTTGGACTTTATGTAATTTTTTTCCTTTCTAATGCACATTCTTACATGTTAATTTTAAAACATCCGTGATGCAGAAAGTTGTAGTTAAATTTATCATTATAGTTTGGTATAAGTAAGAAAGCATCAATCTCTGGGATTATTCTGAGATGAACAAAAACCAGGTTCCTTTGAAAATATTTTAAATAATTATTTAGATTTTATTTTTTTAAGCTACAGTTCTGTTTTAAAGATGGTACCAGTTTTTAGTTAATAATTTAAGGTTTTCTTAACTATACAGTGAATTCTATTGGCTAGCAATGAAGACAGGTCTGGAATTTCAGTTGATGATTTGAGGAAGGATACAGCTGAAATATGTAGGGATGAGGGCCACAAAGGAGGAATATAAGGAAAAAGGAAGTCTGGAGAAGAGGGTGAAATGTATAAATGGGACTCAGGAGTGATCTGTAAGTAGGAAGTAGAGGTTAGGAGATTAGTGTTGTAAGCGATGAAGGTTTTCTTTTGGTTTTGTAGTCATGCTGCTATCAAGGAACCTTGGTATAACAGTGAACTTCATCATTGTAACTACTATTTTGTATGTATCTCAGTAGGTGCTCCTTCTGAGGTACCTCTGTGCTTGGAGAAGGGGAAGTAAAAAGAGTTCAGTGCCTTGCCATATCTAGATCTTCTCTGAACCTAAAGTGCCTCTCAGTCTGCCAGTTTGGGCTTCCCTGACCGAAGCTCTCTTGTGTTTTTTGTTTTGGAGCTAGGACTGGTAAAATGAGCTTAAATTTATTTCTGTCTGATAGTGTATGGGTTTTTTTTCCAGATTAAAGAGCAGGCAATAATTCGCCTATGCCAATTAGTAAAGAGGGAGGGGAAGAACTGTCATTACGATTTTTGCGCAAAGAATACTTGTGGTAAATGATCAGCATGTGGGATAGGGATGGACTGTAAATAAGAAAGAAAATAAAATGTAGTCAGTTACAGTGAGTGTAGTTATTAACTCTGTATTATATTTAATCTTACTGTTAAAGACATGGATAGGCTACAAGTAAAAGGAAATACAAGGCTGAGGAATCTTGTTTGCTGGAAATCAAATAAGTCAGTTCGTATTGGGTGTGTTCTTGTACTTTTTCCTTTAGTATTTGGTATTCTAGTCTTTGGGCTGCCCAAAGTATATGACTGAATTTATCTTCAGTCATGTTAATATGATATTCCTAAATGGTTAGGTATTCTGCTGTTTTGGTACACTTACACAGTAATACTTGTCTAAATATAAATTGTACTGATAGAAAATAACTTTGACTTATTTATGTACTCTTGCTTTAACAAGTGTCACCTTGATGTCCTTGTATTTTTTCTATAGGAAAGATATAAATGGGTTCATTTAAAAAGAAAACTACAAACAAACCATGACTTTAAGTCAAAAACATGTTAGGAGATTTTTTTTTCCAGTTTTTCCTATGTGTCAGTGTGGTTTGGCTTTTTCAAGGGTTTGAAATGTAAAAAAGAAAACCTGCTATTAATGAAACTTATTTTTGTCAAATACAATAGTATTTTAAAGCTTGTAGATGAAAGACAGTTTCATTGATGTTGTAAGAAAGTCAACCTTTTTCTTTAGACTGATTCAAGACTTGTGATAGACACATTCAGTTTCATATGATAGGCTTTTAGCATCTTGTTTCTTAATATCTGTTTTTTTTCTCTGCTTTTTCTGGGTTTCTGCTCTGGTTTGATTCTAATGCAGCATCTCGTCACTGTTTTGCTTGGATTTTGGTGATGTAGCCTCAGTGTTCCAAGTGAGATCTCTCTGCAGCCACTATTGTCTTGGCTGAGGCTGCTGCTCAAAGTGAGAAGGAAAACATAACTTGTTGAATGCAGTACTGTAAAGCTTTTCTTACTTGAACAATTGTTGGTAAGCCCATGTCTGTTTGGAATAGTCATGATTGGTTTGAAGTGACCACCGTAAAACCACTCATCTACCTATGACCATTGCAGTCTTTCATTTCTGCCTCCTGCCAATTTTCCTCTCTCTGTATTTTCTGTAAGAAAAAGAGATGGTAGTATGAATTCATTCAGCTAGAATTTTTTTTTTTTGCCATGACTTATTTCACTTCATTTTGATGCTGTCACCTCGTTTTAAGACAAAATGGATTTTACAAGTATCATTTCTTCTAGCATGTATCTAAAGTAAAAATAGGGCATCTTAATGATCAGGTAACTTCATACTGCAAAATCCAGGTTACTGGAGCTTTTTGTTTGCTTTAGTTGATGCTTCTTTGAGAAACTTTAATTCCTAATTAAGAAATACTTTTTTTTCATTAACTATTTAGCATTGATACACTTTTAAAATCAGATTCCTTTTTCTTGGAATATATTATATATTTTGTAAATAATGTACTGGTTTCAGTGGACTATGTTTTCTTTCCTGGTTAAAAATAGTTGTGAATGTGTCTAGAAATCATTTGCGCTATGATAACATACCACACCTAACATGATAATTTGTATTTTTTGATATTATAGATGCACATTTCTTTTAGAGTTGTAGAAGGAGGGTGGGGGTGGGAGAATGAAGACAGATGTTGCTAATAGGAGTCCTTGTCTTAACAAAAAAATAAAGAGAATATGCATCTATAAATGGCTAAAGTCCGTCAGTTGTGATATCCACTCAGAAAGTTCTTATTCTAATTACTTTCTTCTATGTTTCATTTTCTTGGGGTGGGTAGGTAGACAGAATGTTTTTAAAGGCTTTGTCGAAGTGTAGAATTTGGAAAATATATGCATATGATAGGGACCAAATTCACTGGAGTTAATTCAAATATATATATTATTAATTGGAATAAGTATATACAAAGTAAAATGTAGAATTTTGTTGTTCTGTATTCTTTAGCAGGTTGATAATTTGAATTTGTGCACTTCTAATCTATATTTTCTACTCACAGCAAGAAGATAAAGAAAGAGAAAGAGCTACAAGTAGATATAAAAATATTGTTTCTTAGGGATGCTGTTAAGCATTTTTGTCATTATAATTTCCATGATTTTTCTTTAATTTTTTTCCACATGATAAACAGTTTTCACAAAAAATATATGAAGTCCCACAGATCAGTTTAGCTGGGTATGGTATCTGACAAGGAGTACAACACGAAGAATGAGAATACAGCATGGGATTTAATTCCAGCATTCAGACATGAAGTATCGTTCTGTTTCTGTAACTGCATATCTCATTTTTAATTAGGATCTGTGTAAGCATATTATACAATAAGACTTGAGTATCTCTTACATATGAGCATAAGGCATGTATACTAAAAAGTAATGCTGAGAAATACTCCAGAAAGTTACCTTATCACGCTCAGGACCTGTTATCATAGGTATCCCTATGGGTAGTAATTATCCAGTATTTTATTAATTCATTAGAATTGCCATATAATTCTGATTTCATTGGACTTTTCTTCTTATAGACATGATCATTATTGTAAACAACTATGCTAATTTGAATATATCTGTGTATATTAATTGATAGTAGTTTCCTTAGTTCTCACAAAATACTTCTCTTTTAATAGAAGAATTACGGAAATTGAGTTGGTCTGGCATTCCCAAACGGGTTCGTCCAATTGCATGGAAACTTCTTTCAGTAAGTTGTATTTTTTTCTTCTTCTTCCTTTGCATTTAGTAGTAATAGTTTTTTTCAAGCATTGCAAATAAGTTTGCTTGAGTTGTAAACTGTCAGTGATACTTGAGAACATTGTGTCTTGTTGCTGAATTGTAGTGAAAGTTCTGTTCTTTTGCTCTATTTCAAGATTCATTTGTCAGACTGAAAGGAGGGGAATGAGAAGTAGTGGTAAATCATGTCAGCTGTATATCTTTATTTTTCAGCCTGGCTTTCTGTGAAAGAAAGGCTTATGTGATAACAGTGGGCTCTTTCAACCAATTTTGATGGAATGGTGGAGAGTTCAAAGACAAGTACATTCTTACAGTTTTCTTGAAAATAGGCACACAGTAGAAGAAATGAAGCCTATCAGCGTCCTGTGAAAGGCTTCACTTTGCCTTCACGTTAAAGTAACTACAAGAAAGGATTAATGCTGTACAGAGGAAAAACTGTGATAGGATCTTATAGTTTTTTTGGCTGATTTTTCTATAGTGGTTTAAGATGAACAAATCTGAACCACTGTGGTCAGTTATCTTGTGGCATTGGCTCTCCTGATGTCAGACCTGTGAGTCAGTTCAGGCAGACAAGCTAATTATAAAGCTCATCACTTTTTTGTAGTGTGAATTTTTGGCTGGCTGAGGTCTCTGAACTTTGCCTGGTGGTCAGAGGATTTTGCAACGGCAGTAGCTTGGGAGTAGGTTGACTGAAATACCATGGAACAGCACACGGAGGTGTTTCAGTCGGGCATCAGAGACAAGCTTGTGGGAATCTGGGATTCACTGGGTTTGCTGTTACAGAACTGGATTTTATTAATCTTGGTGTTTGCACTGTATTGGAAAAGGTTCTTCTGCAGAAATACAATGTATTCCTCATAGGAGTATTTTTCATGTAAATCTTTTCCAGTATAATACTTGCAATGGCAAATGGTTGTGCATTTTAGCCGTTTTTTCTCTTCCTGTGGTTGGGAGAAGAACTTGTGAAGATGTTTGTATTACAAAGAAGCAAAAATCTCGTGCTGTCTACTCTCCAGAGGCTATGAGAGACGCTTTATCAGCAAATCTGCATGCATTTAAGAACTGTTTAAAATTCTGAGTTATACACACAAGTTTAATACTACTGAATTTTTCAGAGAGTAGACTTAAATAGCTTTGCTTTTTATAGAATAATTCATTGGAGAATGTGAAGTATTTACTTCAGATTGAGACTGATTTCCAGTGACTGAAAGAGTCTCGCTGATGAGTTCTACTAAATTTGCAGCTTAGTTCCTTCTAATGCTAAATGCAGATGTAGCTTCTTAATGGTGGATATTCAAATACCCTGCTGTAATTAAAATTAAACATGCAGTGTACAATTTACTGTAGTTCTGTTTCCAAAGTTGTTGTCTGAGATATTGGTAAAGAAAAGAGCATTTTTTTTTTTATTCTTGAAGTTTAGTATGCCTGTTTTAAAACAGTCACAGTAAAAAAAATTATGGCTAACTCAAATTTGACTTCGAAACACAGTAAGCTAAAGCATAAGGATAGGTTAAGTTCTGAATCAGAGGACTGACACTGAGGTTTAGAGAATTGGAATTATGCAAAAGTTAACTGCAGTCACTTTCTTACTTTCAAGTAAGAGCATGGGCTTTCCCTGAGCTTCAATTTCATTCCAGAAGTTGATTTTAGTTTAGTATTCCTGAGATTCCCAGGAATGGAGAAATTCCTAAGTATGGCGTTCCCTTGTTCTTTTGTTTCAACCACTCCAGTTCAGGATCCATTCCAGTTCAGTTGTTATCTTTGGCCATCTTGCCATATATCTGCAAAGAAACTGTCTTGGGGTTATTTTGTTTTTACTTTAAGAACTAAGTGGATTTTTTTTTTTAAGTGTAAAATACTTCAAAAAGCGTGGTGTGGTTCTTTTGTGTGTGTGTGGGGGGGGTGGTTGTTTTTTTTTTTTTTTCCCCTGTCACCAAATAGCAATATTTTGAAAGTTTTCAGCTTTTCTTATGTAACTCTTATTATGATTTCTTATTTACAAAGTGGTCCTCAATTAATACATTCTGGAAACCCAAAGACGAGTCATCTAGTGATCATTACTTTTCTATACTGTAAGGCAGCAGCTTGTTTCATCTTCTTTCCAAAGTGGGGAATAAAAAGTCCTTTGAGTATTTGTGGTTATAAACTCCATGATGCTTTTTTCTAATGGTAATTCATTTTTAAGTCATGTTAGTTGTTTAAACATGTTACCTACTGGTAATGTACGTCCCAGGTAAGGGGGGGTAATGTGATAACCTTTTGTGCTATAAGGTGCACTGGGAGCTATTGGGGAGATAAGTGTACAAAAGCAAAACTGTTTTGGTTAAAGATCAGTTGCAAAACCAAAAAAAAGACCAGAAAACCAAAGAAACCAAAGCATAGTTTAGAGCTGAATTAAAGCCTGGATGTCTTTGTTTTGGAATTATTCAGAAGTCTTACATAAAAATCCCAAACTATGCCTTATTTGGGGAACTGAGTACAATTGGTAGTATCTGAGGCAGAAGGTGATTGTCCTGTTTGTAAAATCAGCATTGAAGTTGGAAGTTTTAAAATATGATTTAAAAAATTGAACAGTTGAGATATTTATTACGTAGAAGGTTAATAATGTTAACATGTGTTTGATGAATACAGTTTTTCAAAGGGAAAGTATATGAAAATCAATATAATGCTCAGGGGCTGTTGATGTTATGCATGTCTACTGGTAACAATATATAAAAAAATTACATAATTTATTTTAAAATACAGCAAAAATGTTAGGTATACTGTACCTAAACAGCTTGCAGAACTATTCAGGCTCACTTCTCTTATGAATAGCAAAACTAAAGATATGGTTGCAAAAGCCTTTGGAGGAAATTAATGTGTAAACAGATTAAACTCTTCACCAGTTTATTCCCTGATGATATGTTGCAAGCCTTTCCAACTTTTAAAAATAAAACCTTATTTGTAAAGTGAACAGGAAACAAGACATGTCCAATTGAAAGATTACTTCAGTCTTTGAAACTGAATAATGGTAAAAAGACTTGCTGAGAAAATATTGGTATCCTTCGAACAATCACATTTGATCTCACAAATGAATTCTTTTCTAATCGAACTAAGATATCCTACAGGAAAAAAAACAACCGACTGTTGAGAGTAAATGGGAGGCAGAATTCAATATTTAACTTAATACAAAACACTGGGACAGGATATTAAATGTCAGACTGAGTCTTGAGGCAAAAGTTAATCTGGTGCGATTTAAAGTACCTGGAACCAAACGCAGGTCAGTACGTCTTGAAAGATACGCTTTCACCAAAGCAAGTACCTCTTAAAGTATCTGGAATGTAATATGTGTATTTTTCTATTTTTCCCTAAATGTTGAGCAAACCAGAAGTTATAGAAATAGGACGTGATGTTGGATTGTTGCAGGAGAGTAATGGAACCTCTATACTTATTCTTAGAGTGTTTAATTTTCTTGTATAATTAGCAATTTTAGCACCTTAGGTTTACCCCTTCCATTTTTGCTTGTAGCGTTTAGGACTGAATAAGAAAGTTGTTTTTGAAGTTAAATGCACAGCATTTTATTAGTTACTTGCAGTGGCTATGGCTCATTGTGTAAGTGCAAATACATGCTGTGCTTCTAGTATAGGATTTTTTTGATGTTACGAGGATTATTTTTGTTAGGGAAACTTAAATCTGACACAAACTTCACTGTTTTACTGTGGAAGGAGAGCTTTTGTAATATCGGCAAGTAATATGTTAATTTGACTTGACTAGTGAATAATACGATTATTAGATTTTTCTTATATTGTGTTAGATGTCCAGATCTTTTTCAAAGCCATCTATCTTCAGAATGATTCTTATACAAAATATTTTTTCAAGACTGCCGTGTATGTAATATCTGAACTAGCTTTCTTTTTTGCAATGTTATGGGATATTGGTGTTGATTGTTTGAAATCAAGCTGCTTACAAGAAAGTGTTAACTATTTGTGAATATTCAGGAAACTTTTTGGTAGCCAGTTACATGAATAATGGTGTTTCTATTAAGTGTACCTTATATATAAACTGAACATTTAATAATATTCATGATACTTCCTTTCGTAAAATGCTGAAATAGTAACCTGAGCGTGTGTTTTTTTTAAAATGGAAAGTAGGCTGAGATGACAGAAATGGGCAACAAACTGGACAAAAGAAGAAAATGAGAATGGACTATTTTTTTTTTCTTTTTTGGTGAGGGTGAGGGAAGATTGGGATTTTCAGATATATGTAAGTTCAGTGAAGAACCATTCAGATATATTTTGTACTTAATGCAACAATGTATAATCCTGCATATCTGAGTGTGTCCATACCTTATGCAAAATAAGATAATATTTATAAATTGCTTTTGGGAAACGACTAAAGAAATGTACAGCTAGTGCTCGTACATCTAAGAGCCCAGTCACTGGTGCTATTGAGTCTTTTTCTGTGATGAAACTTTTAATAGCCTCTTGAGATGAAACAAAAGCTTGAAGTTATTTTTTTCTCATCTGAAACAGTGAAATAAAGTAGCTAGAATGTTTTTAAAACTTTTGAATTAATATTCCATTGTATTACAAGTTTAACCATAATTTAAACGTATTTGCTAATATATATCATTTCTACTTGAAGGCAACTGAGATAATATGTATTTTGTTTAAAAATTTAATAAAATTGCTCCAATAATGGCCACATAGGAATACAGAAATTAATGAACTCATATAGCATTACATTTATCTGAACTTATTTATTTGGTACTTTCTTTCCAGAAGGCAAACCTCATCTTAGAATTCTTCATGAGAAATTGTTTTTTAAAGCTGGAAAAACTTGAAACTTTTTCTTAAAAAAAGAAAAAAGCTGATTTTAGTAAGGTGTTTCGTATCTGAACTTTTGTATCAGTTGGAATCCATGTAGGACTGCATGGCACTACATCAATTGATTAGCTTTCCTGTTACATGTAATCAAATGGCAGCGGTGCTTTTTGTAAGGCAAAGAGTAATATCCTTTTCATTTCACCGTTTTTTTTTCAGGGCTATCTTCCTGCAAATGTGGACCGAAGAGAAAGCACTTTACAAAGAAAACGCAAAGAGTATTTTGCATTTGTTGAACAATACTATGATTCCAGAAATGATGAAAATCACCAAGATACCTATAGACAGGTAGAATGCCTATTGCAGTGACTTTTACCTACAGGTTATCTGCTAAAAAACTTAGAGATTATTTTTGAAGTTTGCTACTGTTTTTCTCTATTTCTTTAATCTTAGTTGATAGACAGCTCTAATTAATTGTTTTTCTACAGTTTAGAAGCAAAAATATGAAATATTTTGGTCTGAAATTTGAAATAGTGGATTTCTTTTAATGTCAGCTTTAGTCATGCCATGTGGTACTGCCATTCAGTGCTGCCATGGTTTTCCATTTAAGAATAGTAGGGTTTTAAAATCTTTCGTCTCCTGCTCAGACCCTCCTTTAAATGAGTGAGACTAGACAGGGAGAGTATAACAGTGACTGTTTCTTACTGGCTCCATACTTATGCTTAAGAAGGTGAAACGGTGTATGATGTGCAATAAACATAGGCGTGTCAAACTTTCTTGCCCACCCAGGTAAGCAGGTAACTTTTCTTCAAGTTTTGTATTAAAATGAATAATTTGTATCACTAAGTATAAGACTAAGCAATACTACTTTTGCCTTCCTTAGAACAGAAGAAGCTGAGGTTGGTCTTTCAGCTTCAAGCTTCATCTTTAGCAGCAAGAAGTATATATAATAGTGTCAATTGAACGTGACTTTACAGGAGTAGTAGCATGTATTTACTCATGATTACCCTGAGGTAATGAGTATTGCCAATATGAAAATAATTTGCAAACAATAAAAATGTGATACAAGGATCCTAAAAAGTGGAAACAAAGTGTGTATATATATATTTTTTTTTTTTCCTCATTCATAGTTTAACAATGACTTAAAGATTCGGCTGTATGTTTTGAAATACAGTAAATCCATGTTACTCCAAAAATAGTGATACAATGGGATTCTAAATAATACTGTAAAACCATAGGATTGTTTTAACTATTGTGGTGTTTAAAAAGTGTACTGTTGCTTCCTTTTACAGTATTATTCTTTCTGTCTAATTAGATCCATATAGATATCCCACGCATGAGTCCTGAAGTTTTAAGACTTCAGCCCAAAGTAACGGAGGTAAGAATGCTATCTAAAGATTTTTTTTTTTGAGAAATCATTTTATTGATGAATCTAATATCAGCACTGATTAATAATTAAATTGACAACACTTGCTATTGTGACATCAGAACTAGCTTAAAGTCCAAAAAATAAGGATATACAAGTATAGGCTTAGAACAGCATTTTAAATATAAGTAGTAAAAAGAAAGGCATCTCATTAATCTCCTGCATTAAATTTGTCATTTTTTTTCCTTCAGTCTTGTGCCTTTGAGTTTTTTTTTTACTTTTTTTCTTTTTATATATTTTGTTAATAATGTGGTTTTGAAGTAATCTAGAGCATCGTTCCCATGGTTCTATGTGTTTGTCAAAATCATTCACGGTCTGGAAGTTCTTATCACAGTGTCTTCCACTTGGGAAATACTCTTATTGTCAATTCGTAGCATGACTGGTTTGTGTTCCTTATTTGATTTTGCTTCTTTGTAAGTTTTATATCTTGAGTACGCTCTATTTATTCTTTTACTACCGTAGTAAATATACATCAATTGGTCTATATTGTTGTGTAATTGAATCCCATGGGGACTTCTCTTAACAAAGTATATAGGTCATAAATAGTATAGATGGTGTGAATCGTCCTCTTTCAATTATCTCTTTTAATCCTTCAATTTCTTCTCCTTTCTAATGATTCTAGTTAGACCTTCAAATGTACTTCCATGTAGTTTCTGTTAGTATCATTATAAAGCCACATAGAACATCTTCTGATAGTTCATTAGATGATATGAGAAGCTAAACGCAGAGCTAGCTTTCATTTGTTTTTCTGCTCTTGCAATTACTTCTGTAATGGAAGTGCTCCTCCACACATGTTGGAGAAATTGGTTTGAAGAAATAGCCTATTGCTGTTTTGAAAGAAAATGGTATAAAAATACTGCTTTCCATCTGCTTTCTACACAGTTATGTTTTACCTGGGCTTTTCTAGGGATGAATCAAAGAGTAAAGTAAGAAAAATAAAGGGACAAGAAGGGGAAACAATGCCAGCAAGAAATAAACCATTAAAGAAATGAATAAGATCAGTGTCAGTGTTGTAGCTAGAAATGAGCCAATAAATGAAATTGGAGGTGAATTGTATTTCATGGAAAAAGGTACTACAGAAAGAAGAACGCTCAAATATTTCTAAGAGGAAAGAAATACTTGTGCCGTATCAGCAATAGTCTCTTAAATTATTCTAAAGATGTATTTGAATTCAACATGAAGTGGTGGCTTTTTTTGGGGTGCGTTTTTTACTTCCTTGCATTGCATGATTAAACTGTTCTTAAGGTTTTAATGAACATCATCTGTGTCTCATGAATACGACTGTGGTTCAGATGTACAATTGTGTTTTTGTAGTTCTTAGTTTGGGTGAGAATAGCCCAGAATGATGATGGGTTCCCCCCCTGTTCCCCCTCTGTGTTTTAGTGAAGGACAAATTAGAAGCTGTTTAACTTGTCTGGTGTAAGAATCTATGTATATTCTTGTTTTTAAAGGAAGATTGCCAAGTACAAAATTCTTCAAAAAAGACTGCTAGATGGTATATTTATTTCTAAATTAGCTGAACAATTGTAACAACAAATTTAAAATAGAAGTTCCAGGTAAACATCTTCTGTAGAATATATTTAATGTCCTAGATTATTTGGATGAGATCAAGTAGCTTAATAAAATGATACTAAGAAACAAAATCTTGGGCTAGTTTTGTCTTTTTGTTTATTTGATTATACATGAGAAAGATGTCTGCTCTGAAGAGATGGTTAATACATTTCTTTAGACTAGATGCAAACTTGATAATAGTTCGTAGGAACACAACTTTGTATTTACCAAGATATCTGCTTTTTCCATAATACAGTTAGAAATGATAGAGTAAACTTGTATTGATATTTAAAGAAGATACGGTCAAGGCTTTCCAACATTTGAAATGTGTAGTTTTGCTATATATTTAGTGTGTTGTGAAAAGCATCCTATAATGAGACATTGAAAAGAATTAGAGTTACAGGATAGTTACAATCCGTTTTTGATTGAATGATTAACTTAGAGCTAAAGAGTTTGTTTGGGAATTTGGAGAGTATATTAATGTGAAAAGGATAGTAGTACAGTATTTTTTACATGCAGTCACAGCTGAAAGATTTTTTTTTTAATAGCTGAATTATAATTAATCTGAAAATAGGCTGGTTTAATGAAAATGCTGACAGTCAACTTCAGAACTAGCAGATGCTCCCAGAATAAAACACTTATTTCTTGGGAGCAATTAAAGTAAAAGGGAAATAATGTGTCTAGGTAACTTCTTGCTAAGTAAAATCTGGTATGTCAATAGAACTTTAATAGCGAATATTATTCAGTAAAGTTTCAGTCTGGAGTGCAGTTTTAGTTAATTTTGTGGGATCATTAAATATGTAAAATTATTTAGGTCTTTTTTTGCTTTTCATTGTCTTTTGGCAGATAAAAACATTGCTCAAGTAGCATATTCATTTAATGTGATTTATTGAGATCTCATTTGCAAGTTTTTTTTTTTTTCATAAAATTAGCATTGGTTTCATTTCTAGTTATTTGTTAAACTTCTCCAAAGGTATGTTTTTCTAATACATCATTGGATACGTGCATCTTAAACACTGCCTTAAAATAAACTTATTTTAAATCCACACTTTTTAGAAACTGATTGCTCTTGCAAGTGACATTAAATTATCTTCCAACACAAATAGTTCTATTTCATGTATACAGCTCCTTAAAATAATTTAGTCTGTTCAATACAGCCCAATAACCCTGCTTGCTGATCATACTTACATTTCTTTAGTTTGAATGTTTAGTGACTTGAGCCGTGTAACAAGCGTAATTGAGTCAAATAAAGTAGATGGACATACTTCTCATTAGTGTGATCAAGGCATTGTACAACTAGAGTGCTGCTGCTTTCTTGTTTTAAAAAAAAAAAAAGAAACCACAGCAAAAAACAACTCCGCCCCCCAAATCCCTGTTCATACCTTATCGCATCCATCTTTCCTACTCCAACACCTTTTTTCTTCCCTAGTGAGTAGTAACAAAATGGATGGAAAAATGGTAAAAAGCTTGGAGGAGTGACATGTGACAGTTGATTAACACTTAAAAAAACCCCCACAAACAAACAAAGGTGTATTTTAATAATGTTCTGTTAGTTGGGAGTGAGTGGTCTTGAGGTACAGAAGAATAAGAATGTGAAAAGGGTGGATAGCAGCAGTCGGTGGGATAAGGGAAATCTAAGAAGTATTTGAGTTATAAAGAAGTGATAGTGATCTGATTAAGTTTTTACTGATCCATCAGTATCCTGAACTTGACAGAGTCACAGGATCTTGATGTGTTAGATGTTTTTAGAGCCCCACTGATCTGGCTAGATGTGTAGGCTACTGGCAGGGTGGGCCTGCATGTGTCTTTGCCTTTGCTCCCTGTCTGACCCGAGGGAGTCAAGCCCAACTTGTTTGATGTCATCTTACAAAGACTAGTGCAAATGATGCTGGAAGGGTCATAACATCCAACTTTTCCCTTGTTTTCTCCTCAACCTTTCTGGGTTTTTGGAGCCGTACCTTAGCCCAGCCTAATCCCTTATCCTCACAGGGGATCCCGTCCAACTCCCAAGGGCTCAATGCAGACAGGGGCCTCACATTTACCCAGAGCTGAATCCCTTCTAGGGAAGGGGAAGACATCGCTGGTCCCAGGTGAGCAACAGTCACCTCCCTTTTTTTAAGGTGAGATGGCAAGAGCTATAAAGAAGAGAAGGGAGTCGGAGTATGGGTGAAAGACAGGTTTCGAAGGGTGGCATCGTGTGCAAGGCTGTTATTGTGGATATTGTGGTGGGTTTTGTACATACTAATTTTTTGATGCTGCAGAGATTTAGAATAATGATACTGCTACTAGGAAGAATGTTATTTAGAATGAGGTGAAGAGACTGTAGGTGACAAAGCTGGAGAAAAACGCTAGTCAAAAGACCAGAAACATAACGCGTGTGTAAACCTCACAATGTCTTCTGACTTCAATTTCCAAATGTTACTATTCCAAAATTTTTGTTGTTCTTGGTGGTATCTGAGTCTCTGTTCCCAAAGAGCTTTTCATTAGGGTTAATGAAACTGTTTTAATTTCTTATCTGAACTTGGAATTTGGTTTCTGTAGTGTTTCAGTTTAGAAAAAGGTGTTTCGAGTCTGTTGTGTGGAAATAGCTCATTATTATATGTTCCTTTTAAAATCAGTTTAAAGTGTTTATTTTTTATGGGGGGTTATGCGGATCCTGAGTGGGGGGAAGGTAATGTTGGAGCAAGGACTTAGAGAACTGGGAATAAATAAATAGTGGCCTTCAAAGAGGAGGAGAGGGGAGTTGGAGGTCTTCCCCCATATAGGTCAGTCAAGTTTATTTTAAAGACTAATGACTGTAAGTTTAGGTTTAATAAATTTGATTAGTTGCTGTGGAGTAGTCTGTAATCTATTACCAATTTCTTCTTTATGTTTAACTGAGTTGTGTTGAAATGGATAGTACATGGCTGTGTATTTCCCGTCTATGCTTGCATAATATGGGAGAAGTAATTTCAAGTAACCAACACAATTTAAAAATAGTTTATAAATTTGTCCCCATCTCTTCTTCCCCCTCCCCTTAGAAAACAAAAAGCAAATTCTCAAAAGCTTTCGTGATTAAAGGTTTGGGGGTTTTGGAGTTCCTCTGAGGTGGCAAAGCCCACAAAAAATTAAAAATCTGCATTTAAGCTAATGGATTCTTCTCTTTATGTATATGAATATAGTTCTTGCTGTTATCATGAATGAGAGTTAAATTCAAAAGAGAATAATTGTTTGGTAATGACATCTTGTGAGATGTAGTGGTTCCTTGTAGAAAAGTAATTCCAGTTTCTGTTGCTGGTCTGGAAATCAAGAAGGAAATCTTTTGGGAAAGTGACCTTTTTAATGAGTCCTATTTGAACACAGTGATGAGTGCTGCATAGAAACTTAAATCAGTCTGCCTTTCAGGTTTTCAGTGCTCATTTTTTTCAATTCAAAACAGTAAATGAAACTTTATGAAAATGGGTAGAAAATTGAAAACACTATTTCAATGTGTGTTTGTTCAGTTTCTGATTAGATGCATTTGGGGATGTTAAAGCTGATGTGCCAATCACTGAGTGATCCTTCCTGCTCAGTAGTAATAAAAAAAACCCCAAACAAACCCAAACCCAAACAAAAAACCCAACCCTCCCCCTTAGTTTTAATACCTGGATTTTAAAAATGCTTTGAAATCCATAGGCATCTCAATTTGCAATGCAAACTATGTATATTATCAGGTTCTAAGGAAAGAAAAGGTTGGTGGTACGAATTTGGGAGTTGTTTGACTTGAGACATGGCTTCATGAAAAACACTACTTTTAGAATTTTTACTGTGGATATTTTGATAGCTGTTACTGAATTACTGATTTTTTTGTTTGTTTGTTTCTCACTGTGCATATTTTGTAACTCCATCACACTGGGAGTTTTTTGTTTAGCCTAGTGTGTAACACTATTCTACATTCAGAGATTGGTATTTAGATAGGTTTTTCTAGTCACCTCTATCTGATATTTGTTTTCAAGAAAGTTATTTGTATTTGCAGTGTGTTAAACATGTCCTTCATTTGAAGTGAAACACAGAATGGTAACACTGATAATACTGAAAAACTAATGTTACTGAAACTAGAAATGGCAACTGACAGAAGCAGGAAGGATGGCTGTGAGCTAACCATACTAGAGAGATTTGCAGTTTTCCAGTAACAGTAAAAATATGACATAAACAACTGTAATTTCGTAAAGGTATAATTATATAAAATGTGAAAGCAAGCTGTAAATGGCAGAACTTAAGGTCTTTATACAGTTATTGATAGACAATGAAACCCCACTGGTTATTGCTTGATGGGCAGAGGTTGGTATTTTTTCAGTTTAATATGCAGTGCATATTAAAAAACATGAGGTGACAGGACTAGCACCTAGAAGAATTTATAGCTAAATGAATAAGCATCTTGGCTAATGAAAACAAGAGGCTTTTATGGAGAATGTGCTAAATCATTACCTCCCTTTCTGCCTAATCTTTGCCCCCAAACTGAAATCACACTGAGCAAAAACTGAATCTTAATTGTAGCTGTAATGAATGAGGCACGAGCTGTGTTAAGGCTTGTGTTTCAGTGCCCACCAAAGCTTTTCATATTTATTGTTGGTGACCATCTCCCTTGTTCTGTGGATTTTCAGCGTGCCAGGGAAACATAAAACCTGGAGATCAAGGAAATTTGATTCTCAAAAGAAAGCCTGTGGGAGAAAGGTAGATGTTGATAGTTGGGACTTCTTTTAAAAGTGAAAGGTGCCAATCTGTTTCAGCTTCAGGTAGCTCATGTGGAAGCCTGTGATGGGACTTTCAAGCACCCAGATGCAAGTCATATATACTTAGACCTTTCCTCACTTGAAAATGACTGCAAGAGGGCTTTTAAACTAAAGAATAGTATTTTATTTAGAATGGAATTAGAATAGTCAACTTCTTAATCTAGCAAAAACTTGAAGCGAGAATGAGTAGAAATAATACAGACATCATAAACTAAACTCCCTCTCCATACTGTGTCCTTTCAGGGCAGGTCTTTTACGGACTTTCTTGAAGCCTGAGCATTCATTGACTTCTGGGTTTGTAGCAAAGTATGCAATTTCCTTGGGGTCCTTACAAAGTCTCTCATTTTTTATTAGTATTGAGGCCCGATGCTAAGAGCAACATAGTCCTTTGGTTGAGCTCTCCTTTGTCTGCTCCAGTTAGCTGCCTCTGTGTTCTGGCTTCTTGGGCAGACCTTCCAGAGAGAGAGCAAATGTTCTTTTGCTTCAGAAGATTATACCTGATTGAGTACCTGTAATTAGGGCAAAGCACATAGAAGTTTTCACACTGCTCCTTATTTGCAGCATTTTAAAGACACGTAGCATGTTCAGAAGCAAATGATGGAGAGGAAATACAGCTTGCCACAGACCTAAATTGTGTCAGAGAAGTTCTGTGATTTCCCTGCTCCATATTCTTCTCATGCTGTCCTTCCCATGATCAGATATGTTGTGACCTTAAGAGCTTTTGCAGATCCTAAGCAAGGTACAGTTTACAGAGTTGAAGGGGTGAGGTTATGCGATACAGCAGGCAGTTACCTTATTTCTACATTTCCTGATTTTTATCACATTTTTTTATTAATCAGTATACATGCTTCTGAAGTCTAAAACCCCACACTGCAGTATTAGGCAAGCTAACTGTTATGGAATCTCTTTTTATGGGCATGTTATTAAAAAATCTAAGCTATACAAAGTACTTCTTTCTGTTATTTAGGAATAAATAGAATCCTATATTGATAAAATACTTCTTTCAAAGCGGTGAAAAATCATGGGAAGGTGATTTAATATTTCTGTCTCTTGAGGAAAGAGGAATTTTAGCTTACTGGAAAAGCTCCAGTGAATAAGTGCTACTTTGTAACTACTGTAGCTGAATTATATACTAGGTTGGTTTTAACATGTGCTAATCCCTGAAAATACTTCCTTTTGAGGAACTGGGAAGCTTACTTGGCACTGGAAGTTAATTCTCAATACCAGTGTTCATTTATACGTTTGTATGCATGTTTTTATACTAGTAACTCTATGATATTAAATTTGTCCTTGTATAATTTTCAAGTGTCTTGTTTAAAATGTGCTCATCCCTCGATAAATTATCTGATAGTCTCTTTAACTCTTTTTCAGATCTTTGAAAGAATTTTGTTTATCTGGGCAATACGTCATCCAGCCAGTGGATATGTTCAGGGCATAAATGATCTTGTTACTCCTTTTTTTATAGTCTTCGTTTGTGAATATATAGGTAAGATTTGTCTTAATACCGAATTATGAATTGGTACTGGTTTTTGGAACAGCATCTTCATTTTAATCTGAATAGCGATTTGGATGAACTAATCAAAGCTTAATTCGATACATGAATTTTACCATAAATTTTTGTTATTATAAATCTGTATAGTTCTTTTTAAATATATACTGAGCAGCAACCAGATTTTGTGTAAGTAGTCAGTGGAGTTCAGGAATCTTTCAGGTTTTTATTCCAAACAACTTCCCCCCCAACAAAAAAAAAGCCAAACGAAATCCTCTGTAGAAGTTCCAGACAGTGTTCTTGTTTGTCAGGTGTGAAAGCAGGGGAAATAAGCACAATCTAGGATATGCTTTCATCTCAATTTCTAGTTAAGAAGTGTTCACCACTCCTGATGCTTTTTTCTTTGTAGCTGGTTTTATTCTCCCTTTCTCTCGTTCTCTCTTCTAATTCACTTTTTTGGTGAAAATTTCAAATTGTACATATGAAGGGCGCAGGTGTTTAAAAAAAAAAAAAAACAAACCAAAGCAAAACCAGACATGATGAAGAAAAAAACCACACCAAAACAAACAAAAAAACAACCAAGAAACAAGGAAACCTTTTAACTGAGTAGCAGGGAAATTAAAGTAGAGGGAACCTTTTAAACTGGATCTGTGACTGAAAGAAAGGCAACCTGGAATTAGGGTCGGAAAATTAAGGCAGCAGTAATCAGATTTCTCTGGTTAAGAACTCTGCTTTTCTGGGGCTTACAACACTAATACAATAGTAGCGTAAATAGCTGTATTTCTGTTGAGTTTGTGGCCTTATATAGGAGTATACTTTTTGAAAACTGTTTTATATGGCAAACTCTGATATTGGTTAAATGCTCATCTCTTACTAGAACATAATTCATATCTTAAATTCATAGATTAGTATTTAAGTCTTTATAAATATTAAGAGTATGGCTAATCATTAACAATAACTCATAATTTGGTATAACTATGGATATAAAAGGTAAGGTTAAATAGTATAAATGACAATGTTCATCTGGTTTGAATTAAAACTTTTTTTCTTGTATTTCTATTTGTCATACACACATACAATGAAAATACACAACGCTTGTATAAAATTGCACAAGACATTGTCTGGCTACTTCAGTGAGGCTGTATATACTGGATTCTTCCTACCTTCTCTATGTGAGATACCCATTGGTGTCTTAATCCAGATTGATTAGATTTAATGAAGGACAGATTATCCTTGAGTGGATGATAGACTATCCATTTACTCATTTGCATAGCAACACCTCTGTTGCTTTGTTAATTTCTTGTTTCATAGGGGGACATTTCATTGCTAAGCAACTAATGAGAACTACTGCTGCTTTCTCCCTAATCATCTCTTAAGTAGGGTAGAGGCCTACTCCTGAGAGTACTTGCAGTTTCTGCCTTTTACTCCCTCATTTGACAGATAATGAAAATGTTCTTAATGGTCCTAGAACAGTAGGGTCTCTAGTAGGCTTTAGGGTTGTTAATTGAAATAAGAAGTTCAAATGAGATGTGATTAGAGAATTGATATTCCATGTTAAATAGACCATTTAATTAATATGGTAAATAAGTTTGTCTTTACCACCAACTTACATTTGAAGACCCTGGTGATTGTTAATGTATTTGCCAGTTTGTCAGTATTTTTGTATCGGAAAGCATAGCTGTTCCAGTAAGTGTCCAGTGAAGAAAGACAAAACTCAAAACCTAACAACCGTTAAAGATATTTTGCCACTGAAAATGTGTGAAACTCAGAAAACTGTGTTCTGAAGGCTCATTTAAAAGCTAATACCTATGTAATAAGAAAAATACTAAAATGAAGGTGTTCTCTTCAATATAGTAGTGGTCCTGGCTAAGTGCTACCAGCAGTTATTTCCCCCAGTGACATAAAAACTTTCTAAGATTTGTCTTTAAATAGCTTTTTGATTTGAGTCTTTCTAATATTTTCAAGTTACACTGAGTGATGCATTCAAGTTTGAATGAATAAGAGTGTGCATTTTACTTAAACTTGAAATGGGGACATTAAATTTATGAAGTACCTCAAAAATCCCGAGATTTGTAATAGAATTATAGAAGGATTCAAAACTCAGACTATGAATTGTGCTCAAGTAATTTAGATAGAAATAGATGCAGAATTGCAGAAATTTTCTAGCCAAAATGTTTAAGCTATTTCGTTTATTTAATATGTACTCTAGTAATACTCTGTATTTACCTTAGATTTTTACTCTAGATCTTCTTTCTTGGTCTGATTTTAAGTGAATATTGGTTTGTACCTTAAGTTGCTTTATTTGTTACGTTCTTTTAACTGTTGATTTTTGTATTTTTCTCAAGTTGACTGAAACCTTTGTGTTGCAGTTCTGAGTCACTTGGGTCCTCATTCATGCCATTGAAAGTGATAATGCCTTTTACATTAGGTTCTTTCTGTAATTAAAAAAAAAAAAAGGTCCTAAAGGATTATTAAAGATTAATAATAAATTCCTATTATTGCCAATGCCATTAATAATAAATCTGTGATGGTTAGATCATCTGACAGTATACGCTGATAATGTTTACACACAGTTGCATTTTTGTCAAATATTCTGGTGGAAGGAAAGCCATGTTTATTTTAGCTTTATGACAACTGAGAGAGCCCTTAATCCTGCATAACAAGTGTGTGACACATTTATTCTAGTCATGGGAGTCTTTCTGCTCTGCTAAAGACATCCAGAAACCATTTGGAGAAGTGTTTTAAAGAACTTTGGAAAATACAAATGACATGTATGGAAGTGATAATTTACTTGCCTAGTAACATTTTTTTTCATTCAAATCTGAATGCCAAAAAGTACATTTGTGCGTCTTTTTATGAGGACCAAAGTCATAGATGTTTTGATGGTTTAGTATGGATTGATGTATCTAATTTTAGCACATAGGTTCACACAGTTAGAATAGGTTGAGTGACTGAATGCAGGAATTGAGTATGTTAAATGTTGAGAGCATTCTTTCCACCTTTCCAGCAGTGTATGATGAAAGTGTAATTTGGTAATGTTTCATTAGTACCCACTCTGTAATAAAAGCAGAATACTGTAACATTTTCAGCAAGATAAAACTTGGTTGTCAAACCAAGCCAGGAGAGGTACAAACTCAATTAAAGAAATTTCAGAGGGGGTATGTACTGGCCCCTGCTGGAATACAGTAGATTCAGATTAGAATTTCTGGTCTAAATTAGGAGGAGGAGGAATTTAAACCTTAGGTTTCTCATACTCAGTGATTGTGTGTGTCATTCTCAGCTTTTTTCTTTTTTTTTTTTTTCCCATGAAAAATACTAAAGCTCTGTAAGCTTATTCTGCCACAATATAACAGCTTCTTTGGAATTTCAAACGCTAGTGGTATGAGAAAACTATTTTGTGCTTGGTTCTAACCTCCTATGTGACATAGCAGTGTTAAAACGTACGTTGTCAGAACAAATGCTAATTACTGTCAGGACAGTTTTTCTGAAAGCTCTGTGTCTTTGTAGCATATTGGTTTGTGTTGAAATTAATCTCATCCATGTGGATAAAATTCCAGAGGCTTTTTTCTTAATGAGATAAGGTATACCATATGACTGCTCGTTGTTCACTGACTTAATGTGGACAAGGAAATTTTGCACTGGATTGCAAGTCCTATTTCAAGTTGCCCCACGTGTTGCTCTCTTTGTACACCTTCTTGTGCTCTGAGTTCCTGTTGATGTACGTTGTTTCCAACTATTAAGTTGTGCTGCACAGCTGCTTGCTGTTTCTTGCGCTCATGGACTCAGCTACACTTCACTACATCTGACATTTCAGTACTACATCTGCATTTCAGTAATTCACTGGGCCTTGTGTGTATATCTAGTACCACAGAGAGGACCTGGATTTATTCACCATCCAGAGAGATGAAAGCTCAAGAGAAACACCATTGCAATAAGGATGCATGTCAGGCCATTGCTAAGTGGAATGGCTGTTTGAAATCACTTTAAGACCCCTAGCAGTGTTGGATCAAGAGAAAATTAGGAGTTAGTAGGAAGTCAAGAGCAGAAAATGAACACTATCATAGCATTTCATCATTGTATGTCGGATAAAGAATGTCAAGAAAAATGAGGCTGCTGAAGACTGGAATGGCGATTGGGATATTGTCTACAATCTTCTTGCAATAGAGGAGCTTGAGACAATTTGAGGATGCTTACAAGAACTCATGAACTGAAAACTTTGGAAAGAGGGGTCTTACCCTTGTAAGTATTTTTCTTGTGATCTTAAATCCTTTTGTAGAAGGCATTAAATGCAACTTCTAGTGTTTTTTAAATTGATAGTGCCATGACTTCATGGAATAATTAATCCAGGCCCAAATCCTAATGGGATTGGGATGGCATTTAGTCCCAGACCAGTGTGACTATAAGAACATAAAGGTTCTTTAGTCCTGGAAAAGCCATCATCTGTCTATAGCTCCCTTGCTTACCTTTCTTACCATTCCCTCTCATATCACAGGAAGTCTTTCTGTCCTTAAAATGAGATTTCATGCTGGTTACTGCCTTCTTCCCTTCCTTTTCAGCATATCTGCTGCAAATAATTAAATTTAAAACTATTATTTTTTTTCTGCAGTTTCTTGAATGCTGTATCTAAAATTGTTATTTTCATAGTATAATTGGAGTAATATTTCAGAGCATTGTATCATGGCTGTATCTGAGGTAATTCCTCAGTGTTTATTTATAAAATATGAAAAAGTTGTCAATTTAGTAGAGGTTGGGTTTTTTTTTTTCAGGAGAGTTGTAATTTTTATACAATAAGTAAATCCGTTTAGAACGTACATGTAAAACTGAATTTCTGAATGATGAGGCAGTAAGCTAGAGAGCAAAGAGTATTAACCCACTGACTTCAGAGAGCTGCTAGATTTTTTCCATACTTGCAGGGTTAGAAGGTAAATTTTTGTTTAGCATGCATTATTTTCTTTACAAGACCAAGCTGAAACCTTGATTGCTGCAGTATGTATATTAATCTGAGATAATTAGTCATGCTATCTAAACACCTAGATCTTTCTTTCTTAGTTCCACCAATTCACTGGTCTTTGGAGAATTTTGAATAGGGCTCGTGCATTGGGGTTTTGATGAGATAAAGTGGAAAAGATCTAACACACTTGTAGTTATTCTACTTTGAAGAGACTGAGTGATACCGAAGGAATGACAAATTGTGTTGATAAAATGGAAGTTAAACAAGGAGCTGTAACTACATTAACTGGATGCTTCTCCCTCTTCCAGGCCCTTGAAGTGGTTGGAGAATGACATCCTTGCTGTATTCTGGTTTACCAGGAAAGAAATACTGGAAAACTTCCCAGGACAGAGTGCTCAGGAATATGAGGGATTTCTTCAGTTAGAGAGATGAAAACATTTTATTTCCAGTTGTTGTATGCTCTTGAACTTTTCTGATAATTTTGATGTTACGCTTTATAACAAACTAATACTGTTTTAATGCTTTTCTTTCTTTAAATAAATACATGTTTTTGAACAATACTGTATTAAAATGTTCTTATTGACCCATTTATTTGAAAAGATTTATGAAGCTTATACAAATTAAATTTGCATAAGAGCATTGACATGAACCATAACTGACATTTTAACATTTTCTTGCAAATTGTAAAAGTATTTAAGAAAATATTTCCTCATTTTTAAAACCATTGTAAAACTTGCATGAAAAACTATTCAAAATAATTTAAATCACTCTTGTCGTTTGAAAATTCAGTGCCACGAGTTCCATTTGATCACATTAAATTTTTTCTCCTTAATGCAAATCACCAGTAATGTAGTTTCCACATACAAAGGAATATTTCAGTGCTGCTTCTTAATAATTTCCATGACTTTTTATAGTAATACTCACGACATCAGTGAAGTTGACTGAAATTCTCATAAACATGAACAATACTCTATGAAATATTCTTTGATAATTGAATGGAATATTGTTATCTGTGTGACTTGAGTAGGCAAGGAATGAAGAAAGCTTACACAAAACTTTTTTGAATGGAAGTCCTGAAAATACTGAAAACCAAATTCCATCTTCTGCATAAGTCCAGAAAACATTATACACATTCCTCTGTAAAAGATCTGCAACATACACGAGCCGCTCAGTGATCTGAAACTTCTGACTTAACTGTCAGTTCTTTTTGAAGCACTCTGCTTTCACATATTATGAAACAGTTATTATATGCACACATACATAGATGTAACTATAACATGACACAAAAATTCTTCAGCGTTATTTTAGCTTGCTTTGAGATAATCACTATTCACTTTTTCAATTTCTAGGAATATGCTCCCCCACTCTCACCCTGTTGATGTGCCAATCTATTGTCCAGTGAAAGTATTTTGAAAATGTTGCAGAATAGCTGAAGAGAGGGAGGACTGTGATGAGTAAGATAGACAGCAGTTGAATTTGGTTTTACACATTGATGATTCCTGCTTTGTATCATGGAAAAGGTAAAGAAGGTCCATAACTAAGCAGAGACCTGTGTTGTGCCCATCTGCGGTGCTGAGGATTGGTACTTCTGTACCAGTCTTCTGTGCTGTGTGGCAGCACTGATTTTGACTGCAGTGGGAAAGCAGCTAGAAATGGTAGGTGCCAAAAGAGAATTCTAACAGGATGTTTCCTAACTCATTATTAAATAGACTTTGTGGAGCTAACTGTGTTTTATCCTATTTGTTTCTTATGATTTGGCTTGTTCTACTTTGCTTAGGAGCTTCCTGAGATGCTTTTATAGGTCTCATTTCCTCCTTATAGCTTCTGTTTTACACCACCTATCAGACTTCTCAGTTGGAACTCAACCATTCTTTTTCATGCAGAAAGTACCGATTGCCCTATTTTTAAGTCACTGCAATTTTTAGACTCTGATGTTTATAGACCTGTTATAATTGATCTTTGTGAAGAAGCAGTGTATTCTGAGAATTTGTAATCACTTTAAAATACATGCATATCCTTCTGTAATTCAGAAGGTTTTGTTTTGTTTTTTATTTGTTTGTTTTTTTTGTTTGTTTTTCCTATTCATTTAAATATTTTTCAGTTGCAGTGAAAAAATCCCAAAGTTCCTCCAGGTAAATTACATTGCATCAAAGGAGATAAAAACACAGACCTAAATTTTAGTGCTTTAAAAAAACCCTTAGCACTTTTTTGAAGCACTTGGCTAGATTATATTTTTAAATTGTTCATTTGTTTTTATGTATGTCTCACTTAAGAAAAATGAATCATTCACTATGTCTGAGCAATTTTCTTATATACAGTAGAGTTTTTTTCAGGCCTAATTGGGCAAAGAAATCTTACTATTTTACATCCTTCTGTTCACTTTAATCAAGGAGGAGAATTCATGTGAGAACGACTAGCAGTGAATTGTTTGAATTGTTTGTCAGCTAGCAGTGCTTGCTATAATATACTACTGTGTCAAGGGCTGGTTAATAAAGCAGCATATTTGGAGGCATTGCAAAGAGAACTGTGAGGAGAATGTGGATAGTATTAAGAGGGCATCTCATGCATAGTTTATGAAGGGTTAGGGAATGAGAGTATGAAGGAAGACATATTTCTGCAGGATGTGAAATGGAGAGGATTGATTAAAGGGGGCTAATGAACTAAAAAAATTTCCTTTAATCTTTTGATCATTTTGGTTTTGTGTTTGGAGATTTATTTTAATTATTTACCTGGACAAATTATCTTTATCTTTCAGCATGACTTGTTGGAATATTGATTTTTTAGTTGCAGTTCGATTAATCCTATTGTGAGCACTTTGTTCTGGCTTAAGAGTTATATAACTATTTCAGTTAAGAACTATTTTTCTGTGTAGTTAAAATAGTAAAAGCCCTAATGACTGTAGTTGAACTTAACCCAGGTATGGACTTTGTGTGAGGCTTGCTAGTGATAGAGTTTATTCTCTACTGTTTTTCCATAGTTGCTTAACCTGCTGGAAGTCAGTGGTGGCATTTGGTATCAAATATATGAGTGAATCTGCCTGCATGAGCTCTCTCTTAGTCTGCTTTGGTCAAAATGAGGTGATTTACTTATTTAATCAGTGGATTTTTGGCTAATTGTACCAACCCCAGTAGTGCTACTGGCATTCCTTGGAGTATAGTAAACTTGAGAAGGTGTTAATAACGAGCAGCTGAGCACACATCTGCAGGTAACTGTTTGGTGTAGTTGGGTGATAGTATATTGCCACGTATATTTTACTCATTAATATATTTGATTCCCAGTAAGGGCTTGGAACTGCGTGAACTACATTCTTATGTGCTGTAGAATTAATCTTCTTCCAGATCCCATTTGCTGTTTCAAGAGATCAGTGTACCCTGCCTGTTCTAGCTTTGTTTCACTGCTCTTTAAACTTAACAGTGGAGCTGCATATTTGAGTATTTCAAATCGTGTTTGTTTGGACAGAAAGGGGTTTGCTTGGCATGTGCTTAGATCACACAGCTAAAGCGGAGCTTGCTGCTGTCAAAATTGGGTAGCTTTGCTTTTTCTTTTCCAACCCCAAACGTGCGTTCCTGTCTTCTCTCTTTGGTCAGCATTGGCTTTTCTCTGGCCTAGTGGGTCAGTTCAGTTAAACTGGCAGGAAACCAGCACCATAATAAAATGAATAATTTAACTTTCTGCTCTCATCTCAAGGATCAGAGATGAACATCAGTGCTGATGTGGGGATAGGATTATGTTAGGGGAGAAGGGAGAAGCAAGATCTCTGTTTAATGCCAGGCAGCACTTAGACTGCTTTAGCTGCATTATTATACTTCATGATCATGATAAGTCTTTGAATTCCACTTAGTTTTTGCTTAGCACATTAGGGAGTACTCATAAAATCATCTCAACAGACAGATATAGGGTATGGCAACCTGCTTTTTTAGTATTTTTACTTCCTAGTACTGTCTTGAATGGCCGTCCGTGTTTTATTATAATAGACGATACTGTTTTACACAATCAATCCTTTTCTGATTCTCTGTTTCAATTTTGATTTCACTATCTTCAATATACTGTCAGATTTCGAAGCTAATTATAACAGTTCATCTGAAATGTTGGATGCATGGCTGCATCCAATAGACTTCTTGGAGAAAGATTTCATACTGACAGAACAAGTTTTTATCAATAATTGTGATAACCAAGCATATTGAATATAAGTTTTCTAGTTACCAGTTTCAACTTCAAGACTAATTAAAAAAAAAAAAAAATGCAACACAGGCTTTTTTTTTAGTCCCCGTGAAAATTCCCATGCAAGGTGGCAAAGCCTAAGCTTTGCTTATCATATGTAGAATTGTTTTTAATGTTACTTCTGTCATGTTTTCTATAATCTTAATTTTTTTTAAGTAATTCCATAGATCTTTGTAACCAAAGTGTTCGAAGTCATATCATACTGATGGGATGGAGAAAATAACTCCAGTCATCTTCATGACCTCCACTGAAACAAAATCAAGTTCTTGAAAATCCATTCAGTTAACCACATAAATTGTAAAATCAAAATTCTTTTTCTTATGGACTGGCATACATTGCAAGTTTGAATAAAGTGTGGGCTGTGATAAAATATCTTCTTTAGTTTGATTATAGATGTATAGTAGTAGTAATGCTGAATATTTAACTCATAAGGGTGTGTTAGTTGAAGAAATAGGATGTACCCTTAGCTTCACTATCTGTCAAGGAAAAATTAACGTATTTTAACGAAAACTTTTTTGTGGATACTTTTAAAAAAGGTTCCTATCTATTTGAAGTGGAATAAGCCTGATTAAAGTTAAAATTCTCTGGCTGCAGTTAACAATTGCTGTCAGAACTGAAAAAGAGACATTAAAATTATTCCAGTAAGTATATCCAACTGCTTAATTGTCTGTTATTTTTAGTTCTGTGAGAGAAAATTAATATTTTGAGTAATGGTATTCATTGTTCGTAGTGTCTTACGAGTTTCTGTTTAAAAAAGAAAAACCAAACCCCCTGAAATTTTAACGTGTATTAGTCTTTCAGACTTTTTTTAGGCTTTTAGATTGTATTCAAAGAAAGGGCAGTCCACATAACTAAAGCATAGATTCTTGAATGTTAATACTGAATGAAAAAAGAAGTACGTAAATTATATATGAAAGATGCCTTTGCAAAAAAAAAAAAAGGGCCTTTAACAGGGAGTCTGTTGTCATGTTGTTGTAAAACTTAAAATATGTGCAATTTTGTATGTTAGTAGAGTTACCAAGGCTGTCAGAATTCAGCTCATGAAGCCAACACTGTATTTCATGTCATAAAATGTACAGAAGGAAAAAACCCGAAATCCAGGACCTGTTGAAAAATAATAAAGTAATGATACTTCAGTTTTATTATTAAATGAACTTCTCTGTTGCATTATGAATCTAAATTCAAGTTTAGATGATAGGGGAAAAAGAGCAGCTGTCACAGTTGTATTAATCTTCTAGAGTTTTATGAAGCTTCTCTGTCA